CCCYKGKKCAAGCGAAAAAWYGCTCATGTAGCYGCRGCTTTAAGTGATTGACAGCAGTCTACTGCCTTATTGCAGTTGTAAAGCAATGCAGAARACWGTAATTTGCAAATTCTCCTWTGAATTTCAAAGAAATCAAGTGAGAATTATGCTTTTGGTCAGCTTTTGTTTTGTTATATATTAAATATATATCGACTATAAATTGGGTAATAATTTCCTTTGATACAATWATTTAGTTCTTAACAAATGATTAGATTGTTCCTTTTGTATTTGCCTTTTGTGCAAAGGTTCAATTTAGAAACAGCTAATGTCTAAGTGCAAGTATTCCAATTTTTTGACAGTTACGTTGCTGTTATAATTTTTTAAATGAATGAATTAACTGTTTTGTCCAATTTGGACTATTGGATATTGTAAATAGTTGTATATTACAATTTGGTTGTGTTACATTTATTAACAGTTAATATTATCAGTACAGAAGATTTCTGATACACTATAAGCAGACACACTTAATCCAGGAAACTTTTAAAACCAGTACAAAATAACTTCTAAATTGTACTGTCTTTTCATCAAAATTTTTTAGTAGTAATTACTACTATTTTTTCAAAGTTTTTCAAGTGTGTCTACTTAAAAAATATCTTAAAAACTTGATTCCAATAATTGTTTTTTAATTCATTATTGCTTTTTTATGTAATTGTACATGGTGTAAGTTTTCTTTAGAATAGAGAACAACTTCAGATCGTCTCCTAAAAAGAAAACTCACTTATGCATGTAATAAATCATAAATTCATATTAAATACATTTTAAATAAAAGAATAAAAATACAAAATAAAGGATTCAGTTAAATTACAATTTCTGATATTATTTTTTTCCAAATAGCTGAAATTGAAGCCCACCATAAAATATTTCTCTCAGACATATTACTATATTTTATTCTTACAAATTTTGTTTTCTCCCATTTTCACTTTTCGTCCAATGCACATACCACCCTACTCCCCCAGAGTTGTGTTTTTGCATGCGAAATTTACATATTCACGTGTGCGAAACTGTCAGTGTTGATGCAGAACGGTGCGGTGTGAAGTGCGCGTCTTATTGTGGTAAGAATGTCCCCTAAATTTCAGCTGTTTTCCCACATTTCTACGCATCTAGTCTAGCGTTCTTAGACTCAGTCTCTATGACTGATGATAAGCGAGAGATTTTTGGTGCAAAATGACCGTAAAATTCCGGATCTCTCACGGTGTTCTTCAGAACTTTAGGCTTTTGGCATGCAGCAGGCAGCAGTCGCGGTTGAAGAATTTGCAAGATATCTACCAGCTAAAGCACTCTTAAATGAAATTAGGAGGTCTAGTTAAGTGTAGCATATTTATCTATACCAGCTTAGAATGTTCAAAGCTTTGCGAACGCATATTTACCAAGTTACTACTGAAACGTATAAGTTTCTGTTGATCTGTCAATTTTTTCCTCAGTTGTGCTCATACAAAGCAGAAATATGGTCGATTATGACAATTATGGCTTTCAAGTCACCTACAGCAACGAGACGTTTGGGGTATGGTTACTTTTTATGAATTTGTTCAATAATTCTTGTTCGGTATTTGCTAAATCGTTCACAGCAATTTTGCGCACAGTTGATCGATATCTCACAGGTGTGTACAGTATCTTTCATTATCCAAACGACGCAGGTCTATTTCATGTCTGTCTGTCAGTGATGTTTGCAAAGAATGCACAGATACACCCAGCTGACATAATATTGCTTATCAAAAAACAATATATGTTGTGTGGTTATAGATAGTGCTATTGTTTATGTTACAGAATAGTGTGGCTGTAACCAACAATTGCCAGCACACGGTAAGAATTTAATTTCATTGCTTCTTAAAATAACTTTGATCATAATTATCATTTATCTAATTTCCCACCCGTTCCTTTCCCATTTGTTCTTTCCCACCTCAGTTTCATTTCATCTTTTTCCCTTTGCCTGGAGTTCCATCTCCCATTGGCCAGTCATCCAGTGAATTTAATTTTGTAATTCCCTTACTAGCAATTTGTTTGTTTTTTCCTGACAGTACTCAAAGTTGYTAGATGTGGTATTCATACGCAGACTATGTTTATGTCCTTTTACAATCAAGACTAAAAGTAAGATGCCTATTGGCATTTTCCAATGACAATGAAATTAGATAAGAATATATGGAAAAATCAAATGCTTTGAACTGAAATCAAGCCCACGACACCCTGCCCTGGAGAGATATTGAACAGCTATGGCTTAGAGGAATTAGAATTGCTTGAAGAAAAAAAGAAATTCCTTGCCATACTTTGTATACTCTTGTTCTTTGTATCATTGCGGCTTCTCTCATGACAAGCCAATACATGTCAAATATAAGATTGTTTGATACATTTWTTAATAGTACAAGTTATTGTTGCATTACTAGAGAGGAAAGCTTACAATCTATTGTCTAATTTTCAGCAATGCCTCCACAAGGATCATATGTGAGAGCCGTCTGTTTTCTCAGAAATAGTTCTGTTCCTATTCGGAGATGCAGTCGACACATGACTCATGAATTTCAACATGGTAAATTTAACTTC